AATGTCCACAGATTTAGTATTGAGAAAGTGACGCTGAAGTCCGAATCTGATCGTTAGCATTGATTTCTTGCTGTAATAATCGCCGTTCTTCTGCCTGCAACCCGCATAGAATTTTTGAAGGATCTTGTCCAGGTCTGCATTCGGAAGTCTGTTTACATCTCCGAGGTCCGTGTTGACATTTCGCAAGGACTCTTCAAATATTTTAATGCCGTATTTTACTGCATACTTCGTATTTTTGCTATCAGCAGAATCGATTAAGTCTTGCAGCTGAATGTCATCCATAAGTTGAAATCTTGGCATAGCTGTGTCCTCCATTTTGCCTCTTTATTGACAAAAAATTGGAAACAAAAAACCCCAGTATTTTGCGATCGAGACTAGTACACAAAATGGCGATCGGTCGTCTGCGCTGCGTGGATTGGTAGATTCGTCGCCTGAATGCAGCGACCAAAATCGAATTGCACTCTAACACCGTTAACGGTATTGCGCATCGGTCATCGCACAAAAGAAACTTATACGGTAACACGTAAACCAAAATGGGGATCGCAGCAAAATGACGTCACGTTTCACAGCCATGGAAAAAGTGCTATGAAAAATTGATATAAACCGGTAGAGCCGGGAAAATGACTATGAATTTCAATTAGCGGGCATGGTTAAGAACATGACTGCATTTTCAACCAATCAGAAGACAGGATTAGTAAAGAATCTTAAAATGAGGTATATAATTAGCATTAAGTGACAGTATACACGATTCAAACGGTGTCGTATGAGAGATTTTCCTTAATCATCATGATCATTGAAGTCAGTTCGGTACGTTTCTCATTAAAGTACATATTTAACAATCACGACAACAACACCTCCATGTTCAGAGTTGAACTATCATTGAAATACCATGTCGCACGACAGCAACTATTTATATTTCGCAGAGTTTCATCGTTGTAATTTCATTTGTGGTGCGGATATCATTATCTTCTTGAATTCATATAGCTTGCAAAGATGTCCACATTATTGTTCCACAAGACAACTCAGATCGCAATCGAGTCTTGTCTGTTCCAGCGTAACCTGTTCACAGTCATGTACTCTACAGAACAAGTGTATAAAGCAGGTCCTTACATACTATCCAACACTTAAGACAAGTCTTTGTTGTACGCAACACTAAAACCAGTTATCCATGCAGAGTTTGTGTTCGAAGGAAAAAGAACATCATCACGCTTGTCTGCAGTCTTCAATGATTTTGTAGTCAAAACAATTATTGTTTCAACTTACTTGTTATATCGCACAAGTTTGCTTGATATTGAATGACAATACACGAAAAAGAAACATTTGTCAATTGCTATGTATGTGGCGATGCATTGCCGGGCATCTGTAGTATAGCCTTATCTCTTTCTGAGTACCATAGATCATTAATCTGTTTAATGGTTCTCAATCATCAATATAACGGCTCGCGGGTAAGATAATGATAGCTCTCATAATAATATCCTCACGTCGAACTACGCAAAACTACCGAAAGCTATTGAACCAAGAAATAACCTCACCGGCGCCAAATACACTGTACCTGATGGATCGAGTTGTAAAATTCACGGAAACTAATGTTTCCTCAATCTCCGGCAAAACTTGATTCTTGTAAAATCTTGTAAGCGTCCAGCATTAAAAGGAACAAAATAAACTCATTGAAACAGCGTATCAAACATTCTGCATCATACCAATAATCAGGTGTTTATCATGGCATTTGGCCTTCAGAATTCTCCTGTCTGCAAACTCCAATGCCACCAACGTTATCTGTCTTTTAAATGGATTCTGACTGGCATATTAATTTCATTTCCATCGGTGGAGCAGCAAATGCCATTTTTGAACTATAAAACGTCAACCATTGATTGGATATCAATTATTAAATATTCCGACTTTGTTGGCGCATTGTTCCCGCGTACCGTGACCCAAGCCCTCTTGTCAGCCATGACCGAAGCTCTCGTAATGGATCGCACCTCAAATAAAATAATTCGCATATCTTTCAGTTCTAAAACAACTAAATTATTCGTCTTTTCTATCGATGATGGTACCATTGTCACGTAATCATATTCTTTTGTCGAGAGCTTGATGTTTTATTCATTACAATTGTCACTTGATCTGTCCACAGTCCATTGTCTGACAGTGAAACACTAATTTATCTATTCCCGTCGATCATAACAATATTGAAGCCCCTTTTTGTGGAAAAAAATGTTTACAGCTGGATTGTAAACCAACTTCAATCATTCACTTTCATTGAACCTTATGGCGCCGGCATCGCAGAATAATTTATGTCACGTACGTCGCATTTCAACATCATTTGCGTTGTTTTCGGGAACTAAACTTGAAACAAACCAGTCAATATGTCGGTGCAGAGTATAATATGGCTGATGATTTCAAACTCCAAACCGTTTAACCCGTAAATGTTGCGATTGCCGTACGTATTTCTAACCAGCACCATGTTACAAGAGAGTTAATTCCTCTCTCTCTCCTTCCTTCTTCAATCCAATGTTCTTTTGTAAGGCATTTAATCCTCGACCATGAATATTGCTAGTACAGTATTGCTTCCGTAGCAACGAGGTAAAATGAGCAACTAATCAATCCACCCATCAATAGCTAATTACTCAATCAAGCAATATAGTGAACGATCATGCATAATATACAAAAGAATGACGATCTTGAGGTTTTCAAGGCGAAGTCTTCCTCATCACTATTTCCATTATTCCACACATAAGGCCCCCCCCCCTTGAGAAAAAAAAAATCATGTAAAATCACGTGATTTTTACCCCCCCCCCTGGCGCTCAAGGGGGGGGGGTGCAAAAAAAATGTGCTCACTACCCCCCCCCCCCCCACTGAGCGATTTTTTGGCCGGCGCGTTTAAAAAAAAAAAAAAAAAAAAATTGTGCTCTGTACCCCCCCCCCCCCCCCCCCCCCCCCCCCCCCCCCCCCCCCCCCCCCCCCCCCCCCACTGAGCGACTTTTCGGCGCGATTTTCAAATTTTCGGGAGCAAAAAAAAAAAAAGTTGGGCCCCCTCCCCTAAGAAATCCTGGATCCGCGCCTGCATGACCATACGTCGTATATACCATATCTTGATTACAGATGATTTGACTTTAAGAGTCTTGAATGAATGTGTGTTCACACAATTGGTTAGTTGACCTAGTGTAAAGTAGTGGTAATAACAGAAAAGTGAACGCACCAAAGAGAGTGTGCTCACAGCTGATTGAATACACTTCCAATAGCGTTTGAACGTGTCTCCAAACTAGATTCACACTCTCCGTACATTGTGTCACACAGTGTGGACACTAAGTACACAGAGAATGACATAGAAGATGCCCCAGTTTGACTTGATACACATAACATGACTTCAAACCGTGTTTAAACTATCTGTACATCATGTAACACAAAGTTGACACTTTGTATAGTGGATAATTCAGTTTGACGACAGTTAATTTGAAGACAGTGCCAAATAATATTCAATAATAATAGCTGGATTTATTTTGCGCCTTTTCCAGAGGATACAAGTAATAAATAATAGTAGTACACCGTATTTATAAAGCGTTATCATGCAACAACTGTTTCAAAGCGCTGTACAATAAAGAAATCAATATGATAAACTTATACAGAGAATGCAACAATCCATTACATAATTAAACATTAACATAGCTCAAATAACGTTAATGTGCATATCAATAAGTCAGCATTTATTTCATAATCAAAATTGACAGTAGTGCACGAAGATCATTATACAGAGATGTGTCAAAATATAGCGTACATGGCACAGGAAAATGGATTTGCAAAAGCATAAGCATAAAACGTACAGTTATACAGATATAGATCAATAAGATATTAGTTATGAGGTAATTAACATTTCAGAGATATTTATTAAATGAAATGAATTAAATATAGGTGTGGTCCGAGACCATTATGACGGTATGAGATCACAGAGATAACTAGAGTGTAATAACGCTTCCGAGTGTGATCACATCATCACAGAGGGGACTTTAAACCCTCTTTCATATTACTATAGAGCATGTAATCACATTGTGATGAATGTATTCACATTGGTCTGAATGTATTCATATTGTCATTAATGTATTCACATCGGCATGAATGTATTCACATCGGCATGAATGTATTCACATCGTCATGAATGTATTCACATCGGCATGAATGTATTCACATCGGCATGAATGTATTCACATTGTCATGAATGTATTCACATTGTCATGAATGTATTCACATTGTCATGAATGTATTCACATCGTCATGAATGTATTCACATTGTCATGAATGTATTCACATCGTCACGAATGTATTCACATTTTCACGTGTTACATTGTGATGAGGTAGAAACATGGAGTGCATTATAATGTTAAGTCAGATTATGACCTATAGTCCTCAATTAAGTACTGTTTGACATTTAAAAACAAATCCATACACCTCAGAGCATATAGCCTATATAGCTCTGTCAGTCTTTTGCTGTGTCACGTGGAGTGCAGTAGACCTTGGCCTCTACGAGTCTCACAGTATCCCACACTCCTTTAGGCAACATGACCAACATGACGTGTGCCTGCTACTTAGAGATGACTTGAAGCAATTTAAGTGTTGTCTGTGTGAACACATTTTTTCATATTTTGTTCATATTGTGTTCATACGCAGTTCAGGTATGACTGTGAATGACACCAACAACCCACTAGACCAGGGGGGTGTTTCACAAAGATCCTAAGTTGAACTTAACTCTAAGTTGGACTTAAAAATTATGGAGAGCCATTTGTAGCCTTAAAATAAAGTAAATTAGAAAGCGAAAATGAAAGTATTTTAGTCTTTAAATAAATTCCACATGAAGAACATGAAATCTGCTTGATAATAGAAAATATGAATGATTTGAATCAACATTCTATGCCTTTTGAAATAACTTTTACACAATATTTTCATAGATGGTAATGGCTTTCCATAAATGTTAAGTCCAACTTATAGAGATAAGTTCAACTTAGGATCTTTGTGAAACATCCCACAGGACCAGATAACGACAATGTTATATTTCTTGAAATACAGTCAAACATGTCTACCAAGGTCACCCTAGGGGAAATAGAGTCATTGGCCACTGTGGACAGGCGGCCTTTCTAAAGATAGTTTCTACAACACACACTTCTTCCTCAAGGGAGACCACAAAAACATGGCCACTGTAGACAGATGGTCTTTATAGAGAGGGGGTCACTAGGACAGGTTGGACTGTTACATTGGAACATCATTATAAAGAGCTCTCACATACTAACAAGGTGATTTTGCGGGTCCGGAGGACCTCGCCATAACGATTGAGATTCCACTGTATCTCTGAATCCTTCACACTTTTGCTTCATCCTTCTTCTTCTTTGCTTTCTTCCGCTTTTTCCGGAACTTGACAAAAAGTCTGAAAAGGAAGCAGAACAAGGCACAGGACTATAGCTGTCAAGTAAAATACAACGTAAATGATTTCACTGCTATTAAAGGGCGACATGAATAACATGAAAACTATCGCTTAAAATAAAAAATCGTTTAGTATTTCAGGGTAGTTCTAAATCTCAAAAAGGGTGAATATGGTCGTGAGAAAGAAAGTCACGAATGTTCGCGGTAAAACTTTAACATTTGCGGCCAAGAGATGAAGTTAGTCATGATGAAGAAGAGAACATTAAGGGCATAATGACAGAATTCTAGTGTGTTCACTTTGAAGTTGACAAGTTCTTTACGCCTCTTATAACTTGAAAAAACTATCCTTTAAGTCTGTCCGCTCTCAGAATGAAAGTGCCCAGTAATCAAAATGAACTCTGCATGTAGCCAAACTTTGTTCTTTTATAAGGCAGTGTTAATAACTTACATCTTCCCCATGTAAGCAATTCCTGCTAGTGCCGCGATAGATCCGACACCAAGTGCACTGCTTTCACCGGCAGCAGCACCCCTTTTCCCAGCCCTGTTGGGTGGTGCCTGCATTGGTCCTTCCTGCTGTCCCCGGTACCCTGCAAAAAGGGAATAGGAAAGGAACAAGCCATAGCGTATTTAGAGATATAGTTATGATACCCGCGTTTACGGGTACTCGCTGTCACGGAGCTCTAAATAGTTCGATCCCTCCAACCAGAGGAAATTTCCGGTAACACAAGAAGACTGTCTTGATTGCTAGTGACTGTGTGTGAACCCCAGTAATAAAGCACTTGGGGCACAATCTCCTTGCCCATTTAAAGTCGACTTCATTTTGAAGGGGGGGGGGGGGTGGGGGGGGGGGTGTCCTAAAACGAGGGTAAAACTGAAAAATTACCCATTAAAAAGTAGATTTTGTGTGGGTGTAAATGGGGTAAAAGTGGGCGTGTTTTTGTAAAGTGGAGGTAGGCCGGCTACGCTGTGAGTTTTTTTTTTTTTTTTTTTTGGGGGGGGGGGTGTTAGTCAATTATTATTTGCCCCCTCTGATTCTCCGAGGTAAATGTTTTTTCAATTTTTGTATGAAGAAATATTAAAGGTAAATTAGACCAGTATTGGAAACGCCCCAATTTCAAAAAATGAAATGGAAGCTCTTATTACCAATCATGTGAAAGAATATGTTTTGAATAATACATGATGATAAAAATGTTGACGGGAAACCGCCTACTAATTGATATATTTGGTAAATTAGTGTATCTCTCGCCTGTTGAGAGATACAAATGCACGTGTCGCGCACGTGTGTGTAGTCCCATACATCTTTCTGTGTACAGTGATTCTAACTTTATGAAGACTGGGCTAAATTTCTTATCATTTTGATGATTCCAGAACCTTGCAGTACATCTATGCTAGATGATCAACCTTTTCTGATCGATTTCACAATGTTTCTTTCACAATGCAATCGCATGACCATAACTGGTCTTTAGCTTTAAGGTTAGGGTTAAGATAAAGAAACAACAGAAATTCACCATTGAACTCTTGCCCTGCAGATCCTACCCTGACTTCCTCTTCTTCCTCCGGTTCCTCGCATCCGTCTGCGTGACATGGCACTGACTGGGAAGACTTTCCAGGGCATGCCTCTCGAAACTCTGCTCAATATCATAAACAAAATTGACAATTGTTTTGACAAAAAAAGTTATTGAAACGACCCATCCTGTTGCGCAAATCAAAATTTATAAAAAAAGAAGGGGGAGGGCATTTTTTTGCCCCCTTTCCCCCAATCCTGACTGTTGTATGGCTACACCACAGTAATTCTTTCATTTACGATTGACCCCGTTGGGGTAACAATAATTCCGACTTAGTAATCAGGATATTTTGTGTTTGAAAAGAAATCTACCACGAAGCCTCACCTATTTATTTACGCGGGTGGGGGGGGGGGAAGGGGGGAGGGGGAGGGTTCATCAACTAAAATCGATTTCAATCTATAGATCAGTGCATTCGCAACGCGAGGAAAACACAATATTTAGCATGAAACATGATTCTATCGCGGGAGGAAATATTTCCCCCTTTTCTCTCTCTCTATTTTTTCTGTTGATTTCATGTTATTTTTCTTGATCGGAATAGCAGAATAAGCTCATTGTTATGCGCCTAGATGCCTTTTATCATTCCTGTGGGGGGGGGGGGGGGGGGGGGAGGTTCACAAAGACAATGATCGACTTTAAATAGGACTTAACTATGGCAGGCCGTTCATGCCACTGTTTGCTCTCACCACTTGCTGGCATTGGTCTCTCATAGGACATGGTCACAAACCTACAGAATTAACATTTTTGATAATTCATTATTGAAGGAATTAAAAAAAAATCTAAAAATCATTACGGTAAGGGCAAACAGTTGCATGAACGGACTGCCACAATTAAGTCCAACTTAAAGTCAATCTTAGTCGTTGAGAAACCCTGCCCTGAAGAAAGTGTAAAACTAAAGCTGGGACACTTTGCTCACAATTTCAATTTTACTTACCTTTATCGGAAGTGCTGTAAGGACATTCACGATTCCGGTAGCAGAAATCGACACCCGCTTCACATTTAGTCCAGTAAGCCCATGAACCCCATGACAGGAATCCTGATTAGAAGAACACACAATCAAATCGGGTTTTGTTTTATATATGAAATATGATCAAAATCTAAACACTAGAGGAACGTTAAGTATTGTAAACCCTTTTGAATGGCGAGATATCAGACCGTAGGCCTACATAATTCCCGATAACATTTCTTGCATTTTTCCAAGCAAAGAAAAGGGGGAAAGAAGGAGAAGTAGGAGGACAAGAAATAGAAGGGGAAGAAGAAGAAGAAGAAGAAAAAGAAGAAGACAAACAAAATAAAAGAGGAGGAGGAGGAAGAGGAAGAAGAAGACAAGATTTAGATTTTTTAGGATAGACACCGTTGAAGAAAAAAAACCTAAACCCCTGAGAAAGATGCATGAACCAATCGGTAAGTACATTGAAAATACGTTGTGGGAATGCTAGCTAGCTATAAGAGCAATGGAAACAATGCAAATATTTCTTGAGGACTCTTGAATTAATATGTTTTGCTGTTGTTTTGCTCCGAAATCAGTTTTAACTTGCGAACCAAACGATACGAAAGTGTCAACTTTAATCAAGGCCAAATAAAATTAACTTCTACATGTATTTTCTCGTTTTCTCCTTCTTCCTTTTTGCGGCCGCCTCGATTACTTTTTCTCATTTTATATGTTTGCTTTCAAATTAAATGAACAAGGATCTCAAGACATCCCGGTGATGTTTTGACAAAACTCGATAATTTATTGCAACCTTGCCGTGTTTTGTCTGCAGTGGGTGTACAAATGTAATAATTACATTTGTTAATTCAAATTATTTGAATTTACGAAGTTTGTGCTAAAATTAACCCAAAATCATTCCTGTATACAAAAATATGTTTAATATTGAGTAACATAATTATTATAGAACTCCCTTAACCTCAATTTCGGAAGAAAAAAAATCCGGACGAGAAAATAGGAATCAGTTTTAACCGGCCTAACCGTTTTATACCTGGGCTTACTTTGTATCATCGGCTCATCGCGTCGGGTCGTGTGGTCGGATTACCAGACCTTTTGTGAAAAAAGGGCCCCTTTATTCACGAAATGTCGGAAGTATATGTTTGTGAAATTAATTAAACCCCTCTCATCTACAAATGCTCTGGTCTAATTTACCCAAATTTTATGAAAACCCTACGGTAAATCTACGCAAGGTCGCGTGATCTTCCGCTTTCGTTTTACGGAAGGTCGTGTAACGCGCGACCACCTGACCGGACGCGATGACCCGATGGTTCAAAGGATGCCCCGTTCGCGTCTTTTTTTCCGTAAGGAAATTTGATGGCTGCATTTGATTGGCTCAATAGGACCTATACGTCATGCGCAAGTCATCAATATTCATGATACGCACGCACACAGAATCTGATGCGGTCATTTATCAAATATGAGATTTCATACAAAAATTACAAATGCAAAGCTAAGTTTACTTTAAATAAGTGACATTGCGACAAAATCGGGAGGCTTACCGTAAACGAAGGACTACCCAGGTCGTAACTTGCCCATAATCATTGCGACATACTGGTTAACTTAGCCAGAATCTGGCCGATTTAATCTTGAATTTGATCTCCATCTCACCGTACCAACGCAAATATTCATATATTGAAATATTAATATGCATTCTATAGGCCTGGCTACCTTACGGAAAAAAAAGACGCGCCCCCGTTCCATACCTGCCTCCTTGTCGCAGTTTTTGACGGTACAGTCCTCGATCTCTTCGGCGCTTCCCACACAGGCTCCGATGCTGCTGAGGCAGATCCGGTTCCTGTTCCTGAAGCCCACGTCGCACGTGGTCGAACAGTCCGCCCAGGAGTTCCAAGCACCCCAATCTGATTATGGAAAATAATGATGCATCAAGTTATTTTGATATTTTACCTCGTTCTCAAAAGAACCTTCGAAAAGATACTCTGTTACTAGACTTGAAAGTCTTATGAGAGACGAACGAAATGATGGCTCATATAACTTGTCTTTTCTTCCAATGCTCCATTTTATGTAAGCTTATATACCAATCAAATAAATAATGGGGAATCTCAGAGGCCGTCTATACTAGTTTGGCCAGGAGGGATTACACCACACAGCGTGGTCACTGACTGGTGGCTATCTCATCAACTCAGCTCTCAATAAAATTAACATAAGAAAAAGAGGATCATGGGGGACCAATGATCACCGCTTAGGCATTGTTTTCTATATAGACGGAGCAAGTACCTCCAAGTAGTACAGTGGGGCTTTAGAAGGCAGAGCCTGTCGAAGGTATCCACCCTTGACCACACCTTTGACAACACCCTCACCCGCCTGCCCGGCATTTGGTATAAATGAGGAGAAAACAAATTATCTACAAACCTCCTCCTGCACTATCCGTTTGCTTCACAATGGTCCGTGCCAAACTGTTGATATCAACCCTCAGCCAGCGCTTCTCTAAACAAAACAAAACACGAAAAATGTAATATTAAAATACGGAGAGAGACGAACCGATTGCATGGCAAATTTTACAAAGCAATTTGCCCTAATCACATAGGGTTCAATTTCTAATAATGGATTGAGGTATGGACCCAGGCCTAATTGCAACTCTAAACCTAAACAAAACTACAACTCGATCCCTGTCAAAAGAAAACAAAAATATTTACAAAAAATCTAAATACACGTATTACCCCATATAATTGACGAAAGAAAGCCCGGATCGTATCATATCGGATCCACGACAGTCATTGTCAAATTCAAATCAGTTTTTGATGCGATTTTTGCTTCAGATTTGTTTCTCTGCGTTTAATGTCGTCGAAGATAAAGAGATTGCACGGTATCTTTACGATACTGATGTTCATGCATTACTAGCAATATGCAGGAGTTTTCTCACAACCTAAGAGAACTTGGTGCACTTCATCCAATTGTGTTCCTTATTTTCATATATTAAAAATTCGTTAAAATGGTACAAACATAAGTGCCGTTAAAGGATTCAAAACCCGATTCCTTGTTGAATGGTAATCTTCTTGTAATGCCCTTCACCACTCAATTGTCTTTGTTTGTTTGATATCCCATAATGCCATACCTGATTTGGGGCAGCTCATGATATTACAGTCCGCATACACGATTGCCCTATCCTCACATGACTTCCCGAATGCTTCCGGGTCATCCGTTTCGTACTCGCAGTTTCGAGCCCGTATGTAGTGCCCCCGCCACAGTTATAAGAACAGTCCGTGACCTTAATCCACTCGCCCCACTCACCTATGACGGGAGAAAGAAAATTCAAAATTTCTGATAAAACTTAAACCAAACTCATTGCTACTACACAATAAATATTCAAACTTTATTCTTCCCCCTATATTCCATATTTTTGTTCGACTTGTTTTCCCGTTCTTCTAATTATACATGTTCTTATTCTCGGTCTTGTCCTTGGTGTTGTTGTTGTTGTTATTGTTAATGTCGTTGTTGTTTTCGTGTATTAACCCGCATCGCGGACAACTTCCAACTGGATGTTACGTATCAAACTTCTAGCCAATCGCATGGCAGGACTTATGTATGACGTCATTCTTCACAAACATGGTTGTGCCGACGTAAAGGTGAACATGATTACATTGTGTGTTAATGCAACAAATTAACGGCAAATCTGTTAGTCAAAAACAAAATCCGTTTTTTCCAAAATCTTTTGTTATACCCTTTCTCCACGACAGTGAAATCAGACATAGTCTCAGCTGGATATCCCGGGCAAAATAAAGTGCCCTCCCCCACCCCTTTTTCAGTCTAAGTAGCTGAAGCTAAATCTTTTAAAGGTTATACTTATAGCAAACTAAACGTAGTACAGAATTCTCTTTACTTTATGTAATACCCATGAGCTTTGTTGTTAGCTTTCTCCAATCGTCATGATCATTTCTGTATGTTTATTTTTACTTTTATTTGTACTTTTTTGTATACGGGAGAGCATTTTATACAAATTCCTTCTCACCATCCACCTTGCAAACTGGCCCAGTACAAACGGCATGTTCTTCATCGGTGCCAGGCCCGCAGAAGACGGCGTCCTTGTGGTCGCAGTCTCGCTTACGAAGTCGGGTACCATCGTAGCCGCAGGATACGGAACACTTGCTCCACGGTTGCCACATCGTCCACGAAGGCATTGCTGAGGTCGTTGTCGACGTCGTAAGGTTGTGGCGAGGTCGACGATGTCATGAGATTGATGGTGGCAATGGTGACATGGACGGTAAAGGAAAATTACGATCTCACTTACTTGTGAGATAATTGTTAGCCTTAAAGGTCACTGAAGTTTTCACGAATAATGAGACAAATTTGGTGATTAATTCCGACATCTTTATCTCGACATCAAAGTTAGTCTGAAGGAAAATTTGGGTAATTTAAATTTACGGTTTACTCGGTCTTGTTTAAGTCCGGTCTAATGGACATTGCCACAAGATAATAGATGTTCCTATAATATAGTCTATAATTCTATATGGTCATTGTGACTTACATTGAAGAAATATCAGAACAGGATTTCTACATGAGATTGCCCGAACGGGTATGGATAGTTCGAAGAAGAAGAAAAATATCCACAAAGTATTCAAATTTATGACAAATATTTACATTGATTTGAGAAAAAAGTATCGAGCTTCCTGAACAGATTGAGATCTAGGAAAATGTGGAGCCAACTGAGATGCTTAGAATAGTTTATAAAATGTAGATCCCCCTTATAGACTGAACATTGGGAAGGCCTCTCTTAAAGCCCCACTGCACTACTTATAGCTACTTGCGCCCTCTATATAGCAAACAATGCCTTATCGGTGCCTTTTGGCCCTCCATGATCCTCTTTTCTAGTATCAAGTATCAAGTTTATTTGTCTTCCAGAAAACACATGTGACAAAATATAATAGAGTATAATCATAACAGAACGATGTAGAATAGAGAAAGACGAGGAGACCTTGGTTGAAGCACAGCTTGTTAAGTTAAGGCCCCCTCATATGATGTGACAAAGATAACTGATTCATGAATACAACAACAAATATGGAATATATAAAACTATTTACAAAATAATCTCAGAGAACAACTACCCAGCGATGCATCGACCACAGCATGGATGACTACAACAAGTATACCTGAAGATGCACACATCCCCATCACACCAGGTGAGCTGATTAGATGAGATAACCACTTGTCAGTGACCTTACATGGAGGTCTATTCCTCCCTGGCCAAACTAGTACAGACGGGCCATCTGCCGCGAACTATTCAACGGAATACTCACGTTCATTGCAAGTATCCCCTCTCCATTCTAAACTGCAGATACAAGTGGCTTTATTTTGTGACTTGGATGCCTGGCACTCCCCTCCGTTCAAGCACACCACGTTGTCACACACCAGGTTCATTCTCTTGCAATCTCGGCCTTCTTGGGCAGGGTCATCTAAAAAAAAAAATCATCATAATCAGAAAATGCTTTCTTGGTAAAGCATATAATATCATACAAGTCATATCCAACATCCTCAGAGAGGCGCGATGGCTCACTGGTAGAGCAGTGGTCTCGTAACCGGGAGGTCCAGGGTTTGAAACCAAGTCGATGCGCTCGTGCCCTTTGATATAAAGGCATATTAATCCTCTTTATCAAGTCCCTCGAAGAGGACTTAAATCCGTCGCTCATCTGAATGCTTACTTACAAGCATGCACATGCTTGTGAGCTTCGGTGATTTTCATTATTTATATTTCCGTGTATTACATTTTTATTCTGTTCAGGACCAGGATCGATGTAAAACAGATTTTGCATCTACAATGTATATCTGATTCTTTTTATCCTGATTCAATGTATTTCAATAAAATAAATAAGTAAAATAACTCTTAACTTGATCAAAATTTCTCATAGTTTTCTTCAAATAATGGCTCACCTCCATATCCTTCCATGCATTTGCACGTCCAAGTTCTCTGCCCGGCGTGTGCGCTACATATCCCAAACTGGCCGCAGGGGTTATCGTAGTCAACGCAAGCATCGTAGGGCTTCTCGCACCGCGGTCCCATCCACTTACGATCGCATACGCATTCGTGTTTGTACCCTTCTTTCTCCTTGTAAGTTTGGACGATGATGAGTGGCGATATTATGAAAAAAAAAAAGGCCAAATGAAGTACATGTAAAATGATGGAACATAATAATATAAAGACCGTCAATACTACTGGGCCAGAGGGGATTAGACCACACAGCGAGGTCACTGACAGGTGGCTATCTCATTAACTCAGCTCTCAACTAACATAAGAAAAAGAGGATCATGGGGGACCAACAGGCACCGATTGGGGAAGTTTTCTATATAGAGGGAGCAAGTAGCTACAAGTAGGACAGTGAGGCTTAACAGCAACATTTAAAGGGTTTTTACCTTTTCATTTTTTGGCCTGCAAATGGGACATTTAACTCTGGTACCTTTAACTCTGGTGTTATGACACAGTTATAAACCTATTTATTATTACTATAATGATCATTATTTTCAATATGACTACAGTATTACTTTTACATGTTCTACTATAATAATCACTATCATGATAAATATCATGATCATGATAATAATGATGATCATCATTATTAATTTTAATAAACTTCGGCAACGAAAAGAACATAACAAAAACAAAACACACACACACGCACGCACACACACACGCACACACAGATATATTTTAAGCAGAAACTTAAAAACGATCATTATTATGGATGCCGAGGAAAAGAAGAGATAGAAAGAGCGAGAGAGAGAACAAACAAAATATAACTCATGTACAATAATAAATTATTTTGACTTAAGATTATGACTTAACATATATGAAAATGGTTTAAAATTGGAATTACTTTTGTTTTCAAAGTTTAAATTTATATGGAATAATGGAGATTTTAGGCAGCTAGAAAGAGATTAAAGAGTATCAATTTGAGTAGCGCTGCACTCAACATTAAATGTATAGTTATGATCACGTCCATACAAGTAGTTAGTAATCAATGAATGTGTTAAACGTTCTGTATAAGCTCGACTACCACGTTCTAATATTATGTAGTTATAAACTTATTTATAGTTAAATTCTAGAGTTTCAACTAATCTTTTAACATGATATTGTTCTTGTTTTTGAGGGAACTAACCTTTACGAGTTAAGCATTTCCCGATGTTTTGTCTTTCTGTTATCAATGTATACCTATTTTTCAACTGTATGTAGGAGAGCGTGTGTGTGTGTGTGTGTGTGTGTGCGTGTGTGTATGTATATAGTGTATTCTAGTCATGAGAATGATGAAAGAAAGATAAACAAACTTGAGCCTGAACTTGAATAATGTTATGGAGTAAGACTCGTAAGAACAGATACTTACCACGCATTCGATCGTATTTGTGCGAGAACAAAGCTCCTTCGCAGTTCCACAGACATTTTTATCTGCATGTTTAATAACAAGAAAATGGTTGAATTTAAAAATAATCTGCCCATCGTCAATATGCTTATAATGTGTAATAATTACTGTGGTAAAGTCAAAACCTTCTTTTGTCATAACCTTTTTCTCTTACTTTTTTTTTATTGGGGATGGGGCATACGATGATTCTCTCTACTCGACGTTCTTTATACAGTCTGAAGAGGTAATTACTTTCCCTGTAAGTCGTTCCTTTATCCCGTCTGTGCGCCCCTACAAATTGTTATGTTTAGTGTAAGCAGATTTTATTTAATAATTAACAAAGATAACTTTACAACGAGAATACAAACAAGGATGTATTTTTTTATGGGAACTCATAAACTACAAGCAGAGCTTTTTAATAGGTTCCTCACATTTCACCCTGTATAACCTTCTATTCAATACAATTAATTTCGACGTCTTTTCAAAGAATTAATTATATAATGTTACACTTTTAGTATATTTCATATTATGTTCTAATTTTGTCAATTATGTGAATTCTTTTTTTGTGAAATGAGAAACGAATAAACTTAAATGTATGACAAAAGAGAAGCTAATAATTATAACCCAGGGTAATGAATCTACCAAAGCGGTGCATAACTGGTAGATACATTCTGTATTCGAATTGGTGTATATAGATATTCTCTCGTGTGAACGTCCCCGTTGCTTACCATCACATTTCTTCTTTCCGGCAATGTAGTGCCAACCAGGATCGCAGGAACACGTGTAAGACTTGGAGACGTCCGTACCCGTCTCTGTACATTTACTCATGTGAGGACCATTACACGGATTGCTTGTACACGGTCCTAGTCGGAAACAAAACCAACGTTTGGTCATGGGTTAGATATTTTTACTACTACTACTACTACTACTACTACTACTACTACTACTACTACTACTATTACTACTACTACTACTACTACTACTACTACTACTACTACTTCTACTACTACTACTACTACTACTACTACTACTAATAGTAATGATAATGGTAATAGTTTATCATAAAGCGCTTTACAGAATGCTAATCAGAGCGCTGTTAAAACGAAAACAACAAATGCATTTAGAACAATAAAATGTATAATTATATGGCACTTAGCAGTAAACATAATAATTATCACTATGCAAAGATTGGGCATAACTTTCATGAAAATGTTAAAAGAGATAATGATTTAACAAAAGCAGAGCGTGAAGTATACGAAAATGAATAACTTGAAAAATAACAATCTGCTTATGTAATGAACGTGGTAAAACTCAGTCTTTTTGTTTGCGTCACTAGTACAAAATCTTTTAACCAATATTGTTAAATAAGGGAATGGTTTATATAGTCGAAGCTGGCAGTGCCGAGTTAAGGCTGTGACGAAAAAATATTACCTTCCATAGGCTTTGTAAATGCGACTCGGTCCGAAGCCAAGGCCAAGGTAAATTAGATTTAATACTGGTATAGAGGAGTGACAGAATGCCCCGATTCGTCTAGAATATTATGAGGATTTCAGATAAATTGTTAACCTGTTTGTTGTACAGTCAGGCTTTTCGGAATTCGGGGTGGGATGGGGGAAGTGACCCCCTAAAATTATTTAGAAAATCAACGTGTCTATCAATCTTTTTATCTATTTTTTACTAGAGATCTTTATATCTGGCCCTACCTAGTAAACAAATATAACATGCACTGAGAGGCTCTAGTTGAAATTATATACCTCATTTTAAGATTCTTTACTAATCCTGTCTTCTGATTGGTTGAAAATGCAGTCATGTTCTTAACCATGCCCGCTAATTGAAATTCATAGTCATTTTTCCCGGCTCTACCGGTTTATATCCATTTTTCATAGCACTTTTTCCATGGCTGTGAAACGTGACGTCATTTTGCTGCGATCCCCAACCATGCCCGCTAATTGAAATTCATAGTCATTTTCCCAGGCTCTACCGGTTTATATCCATTTTTCATAGCACTTTTTCCATGGCTGTGAAACGTGACGTCATTTTGCTGCGATCCCCATTTTGGTTTACGTGTTACCGTATAAGTTTCTTTTGTGCGATGAGATGGAAACCTAAATGGGTGAGTCAACATTTTCCTTTTTTTCGGTATATAAAATATATATTGACTGCTTTTAATATTCGAGGCATAGTTGTTTCTATAGGGTCTCGGGAAACTCACAACCTGCTATGACCCCGCGGCGCAAGCGCCTTGGGGTCATAGCAGGTTGTGAGTTTCCCTTGACCCTATAGAAACCACTATGCCTCTCAAAGCAGTCAATATATCCTTATTATGGATCGAGGTGGCAGGAATAGCACTATTTCTGTCGCCGAGGAATCCATAAATTCACTAGTGGCTTGAAATAGTGCATGATATATTGGTTTTATATTTTTCAAACCAACCTTCATGTTTACTGTCACTGAAGTAGTGTAGAGTGCAGTGAGAGCAGCGCAGACGACAGTACCGCGCCCGCGACCGATAGCACATTGATCTTGATCGATCGCATATATGTGACGTCATCCATGGTATAGTGCTATGGTATAGTGCACTATACCATGGATGACGTCACAGTTACATCATAGCAATGTTATGTTTGGTCACATGATGCTATGTTGACCAATCACCGAACAGGATTTCATTGATCAAAAATATAATGATCTCTGTGCGTCAAGGCAACCTGCTGCTGGTCAGAAGCAAGTTTGATTTAAAATGTACTGTTATCATTGCATGTCAGTCATTTTACAAAATAAATTTAAATGAATGGTTCAACGTACTTGGACAGTTGTCCCTCTTAGCATTTGGGTCTTTATCGTCTCTTAAGCAGCTGATATAGGCCATAGTCGCACTCTGAAAGCGAAACAAAGAGCGTCAACATTATCAACGAATTTATTAACAATATTCATAGCTGGATGTACGGTAAAGCCTTACACAATAATTAAATGCCCGTGTTGTTGAAAGTGACCAACTACACCACATCTCATCCTCTAAATATTAAATCCATGGATCTGTAAAATAAAAATCTACATGTACTTACAATCAATCTTAAAAAGCTGCTGTACCTCCGATAAAATTTGGTTGTAAGTTATGTTCAGTTTTATGTAAAGTTACAATTGATTAAATGAGATCCGATTATTTTCCGGAGATGCATCCAATCGTAACTTTTGTTTCTTCTATAATTATATTACGTGTCTCCCTTCCCCTGCAGGTTCTTTTTTTTTTGGGGGGGGGTACGGAGTTTGGAGGGCTAGTTCCTTCGTACACGTAACTCGCTTAAAGTTATCTGTAATAAAAAAAAAAGAAAGGTTTTTGTTTAGAGGCGGGAGGTGTTTTTTAATAAATTGTACCCATCCCATACAGACGCGGTTGTTGAAGAATTATGCAAAATATGTATATAATTTTTTAGGGTTCTTTGGTGTCTTGTATTCATTTTCTAAATTTACCTGGCTTAAATTCATCTATAATCACAAGATTGTCTAAGGGCGGGGACTTAAAGATTTTTTTTATTTTTAAATATAGAACCGCAGCTGCTCCCATGGCTTAATTTTCATTCCCAGTCCGCCCCCCCCCAATCGCTCCGGGTGCCCCAGTCCTTACGGCAAACTCGTAGGTGAATCCTTCCTCTAGGTGGCCTTTGTGTATCTCGTAGACCTCTTCCCACTTGCACCACTTGCGCCACCGGTTCTTCCCCAAGATACCCTCGAATCTCCGACCTTGCTTGTACACGCACATCTCCCACACTTCCACGTACTGAAAGAGATAGATAATATACAAATAATACACATCAGTGAGGGCATTAGTAATAATTACCCACATGAGGTACCTTTGGAACAGGGTACCTTTGGAACGAGGGTGTTGGGACTGTTTTGAAGGTACCGCGTGTGGGTAATTTTACTAATGCCCGAACAAAATGATGTGTATTATTTGTTTTATAAGATTATGTTTTATTTGTTTTATAAAATGATGTTTTATAACATGATTTTACTAATGCCCGGTCATTAGAATTGGATAATGACCGGTCATTATCCAAATTACGCTTCAGGCAAAATTAATGCCTGGTCACGTGTACGCTTTCAACCAATCATTTGATTAGGATCCACGTCATCATCTTACAACACGTTAAAGTTTATGTTTGGTTTGGTGTTTGTTTACAGTCAAACCCATCTATAGCGACCGCCCAAGGGAAACACAAAAAGTGTTCTTTGTAGACAGGTTCCTTTAGTACATGTTTCAATGAAAGACCATTTTTAAAGAGAAGCAACAAATGTGGTCTTTGTAGACAGGTGGTCACTAAAGCAAGTTTGACTGTATTTTCCTTTCCTTTTGTTTGTTTGGTTGCTTTCTAATTGATTGGTTGAAAATGCTGACAATGTTCATTCTTTTCATGTTAAATCATGATTCATATATTTAAAAAATTTGAATAAAATCTTCAAAGTACGTAATTTCTAAAGAACAAGACGGTACTCAAGTCATTTCATTCAAATTAATTAATTCATAGTACATTTTTGACATAGTATTTGCATAAAAGATCAATAACCAATCGTCCCATTATGCACCGGAAAAAATATATAGTATAAAGTTTGTAATTCTTTTGCACATTGTGCAATTTAGATGAATATAAATGTGGTCAATTTAAAGATACATACCGATGGAAACCATTCTGTTCTCTCTGGAAAGCGGTACCTGATTAAACGAAACGATTAAAAAAAGGGACCTGTTTCACAAAGCCTTTTTTCGATGACAAATGTCAAAAATCAGTGACAAATCTGCTGTTAACCAATCAGAAGCAATGTTTTTTAGTAGCTTATAACAAAGACTGTCATTTGTCAATGATGGCAAGTTTTATGAAACGGGTCCCTGGGCTCCGTTTCATAAAACTTACCACTTTATGGTAACTTTGTAATCAATATAAACTGCCATGGCAAAATCACCCAACAACAAATCAAATCAAGGTTTCCATGAAAGTTACTATTAGTGGCGAAGTTACCATCAATGTATCATATAACGTACATACTGTACTTGTTTAATGATATCTCTCTCGGTTCTACATGAACCTACTAATTTGTAAAATAAATAATTGTGTATGAATCTATAATATATGAAAAATAAGACAAATGATAAAGAGTTGTTAACAAAAAAAAAGGCTTCTTAATTCGTCTATATAAGTATATACAGTGCGTCCCAGAAAAAACGAAACCGAGAAGTATCGATGTTTTATCATAACTTAATCACAACCATAATTATTGAATGATACATATTCGGAAAGCTTAGAGTCTCCTCTTTTAGTTGATGCTACTCACGTGATGCATATTTTACGCATGAGTGATTAAAAGCAATTTGAAGGAAGGAAACCAAAAAGTAATTTGGCGGGCGGTATCTGAATTTCAAAGAAAAATTCATATTTCTAGAAAGTTCATTTTCTGCTCTTTCATAATCGAGAAAAATAAGCCAGGAATAACAAAGTTCTGTTTGTTTAAAGTAGCCCTTACATTTTCATAATTTTAACAAACGAATTCGTTTTCACTGGGTGCCTGCCGTAGCAAAAAGCAGATTTGACAAAAGACTTAATTCTGTTTCGTTGACAATCAGCCATGCATGAAGACTCTCGTCTACGGCTGATTGTCAACGAAACGGAGTTAAGTCTTTTGTTAATTTCGTTTATTGATACGGCAGGCAGCCAGTGAAAACGAATTCGTTTAATAAAAAATTATGGAAATGCAAGCACTACTTTAGACAAACAGAACTTTGTCATTCCTTGCTCATTTTTCCTGATTGACGTGTCATATGAAAGGGCAGAAACTCAACTTTCTAGAAATGTGAACTTCTTTCGAAATTCAGATACCGCCCGTCAAATGTCTTTTTGTTTCCTTCCTTCAAATTGCGTTTAATCACTCATGCGTGAAATATACATTATCTGAGTAGCACCACATAAAAGAGGAGACTCTAAGCTTTCCAAATATGTATCATTCATTAATTATAGTTGTGATTAAGTTATGATACAACATCTTTACTTCTCTGTTTCGTTTTTTCTTGGACGCACTGTATGAATACATGTATTTGTATATATTTGCAAAAGTAATGGAATGAAATACGCAAAATATAAATATGTATCACTCGTCTGGACCCATTTATTAGAAAACAATTTGGATGATTTTAAAAGTAAACCCCTCAAAAAGAGTTTGGAAACTCATGTTTGGTTGATAATATCTCTCTTGTTAGGTATAATCATCCCTATGTGTAGTGTAATTAGAAAGTGTGTTTATTCTTCTTTAAAATGATAAAAATGATACCCCATTTTTTACGATTTCTTCAGGCATTAAATGTGCATAACATCAAACTAAAGGGCAAGGGAAAAAGTTGCAAAAAACACTGCTGTTGGTCAGCTGTACATTATTCTTTAGATTAAAAGTGAAAGGCTGCTATATGGAGTGCCTTGACTGCATAACCAGTGCTAGCCAGTGAATTTTGCAATTTTTTTTTTATAAAACCCTCCCCTTATTCTGATGTACTGCTCGTTCCATGGCCGCATAATCTTAATGAATATGGTATCATTGTTAAGAGGAATGAACATACCTTTTAATGATACAAAACAAAACAAAACTTGGGTTTCCAAACTTCTTTTGAGGGTTTTGAAATAAGATAAACTAACCTGAAGTTTTTGAATTTTTGCGTGTTTAGATCCTTTATTGGAATAGGTCCTTTGTTGGGAAGAGGTTTAGCTCTAAAGGGGTCGAAGAATAGACACGCAAGTCTTAGCATTCAGTTAACTTCACAATACTTTGTGTAAAACATAAGATACAGCATTGTCTTGACAAAGGCTTATAGACGAAAATGTGTACATTTTGTATACACTACGGTTGTTTTATTAATTCTTCTTTACGTGTCTATTTTTGCCAACCGCCACAGGACTATTTTTTATTTTATCTTTATTTTTTATTCATATTAACAAATGTATACAAGGCCAAGTAAACTTATTTGCGAATTTCCCGTCCTGATTTTCGAAAATGGGGAGGAAGGGGTTCCATTTGATTTGACATTTGATTTTTTTTTCATGCATAAAAATGCTGATAAGTACTTTTAAACACAAATTTGTTATATGCGCTCACATAATTTATTAACAAGATAGATTGCTACATAATATGAATGATTGTTTGTAAATCCCGTTGTCTAGATATTCTCAGATTGCGATTTATTTAACGTAAGAACAAAACAAATCAGCTAACAAAAAATCTGAGGCGGGCTGATTTTTTAAAAACCTGAATGCAAGGGGATTTACAACACGGGATCAACTTTGAATCATAATGTACATAATTTATTCAAAGTGCATTTGTTGACTATTCATAATCATGCTTCCCCTCTAATTAATTTGATAGATTTTCAGTATAACCTTTTCATAATGTATATATAGTAGTCAAAATACGAAGATGGCGGGAGAAAGGTTGGAGCTATTCCGTTTAAACATTTTTTAAAAGTCATGTTAAATTCGAAAAATTCAAATTTTCTTTGGAAAATCGTTACCTTCGTCGTTCCCTATTCGTTCTTAAGAACGATGAACTCTCCTCCTTAGATATAAAGATTTCCTGGTGACGAGGTTGCCGCCTTCGTAATCTCTTCGATACCTCAAGAGATAATATTGTCTCACTTGGTAACAAAACCACGCCCACTTCCTCTTCAGACTCTTCGTTTAGCCCGTAATCTCGGTTGATATGAGCTGTTTGAATTCAAGAATTTTGAAGTGAAATATTGCAAGTAATCAGAGAAATTAGAACATCGTTTTACCTGTGTCAATATTGTTTCTGAGATTTTAGAAGAACACATGTAAAGCTTCAATCAAAAGAGGGCGCCAGATGGCCCCATCAGTATAAAAAGCCACTCTCTCGTTACTATACCAATCTGACTGTACTATCCTTTGTCGTCTGACATTAAATGCCATCGAACTAAGCTTGAAACATGATGACAGCGGTGAAAGTTTGTAAATCCATGTAGGAAAGTGTTTGTAATACACCTATAACTCTATTATGCGTCTGCATACCGTGTTATGAACTGGAATTCACCTGTTTACTTTGAGAGTCAACTCAACGTATAGTCAGCCCCACTCATGTAAGTTTGTGTAGTGTTACTTGCATGCAAAGCATTGAAATTCGAGATCTCTGTCTGAATTGTTTGCTGTGGTGTACAACATGCCTGACACTGTGTCTCCTGAGGGTACTGAGGGTGATTTGCAAGGGGCCCATTTCGTAAAGCCTTCTGTCCAACCCCCTGGTCATTTCCATGCGGCTGCGGGAAATGTAGGTCTAGTTGAAGGGTGGAAAATCTGGAGACAGCAATGGGACAACTACACTATTCTCACAAACCTCTCCAAACAACCAGATCGGTACCAAACTGCACTACTACTGCACAGTGTGGGACAAGATTGTCTGCGTGTCTACAACGGCATGAAGTTTGCTAATGCCGCTGAAAGTGTGAAATGCTCTGTGATACTGGATAAGTTTGATAAACATTTCCTTGGTGAGAGCAGAGAATTCTTTGAAAGATTCAAGTTCAATCAACGCAGTCAGGAAGATGGTGAATCTATTGAACAGTATGTGACAGCTCTGCGTACAATGAGTAAGACGTGTGGATTCTGTGACTGCATGAATGACAAATTGCTCGTTGATCGTGTTCTACTGGGAGTACGTGATGATCGTATGCGAGAACTACTCATCTCCAAATCTGATCTTGACCTCTCTACTGCCATTGATGTTTGTAAAGCAGTTGAAGCGACGTCTACTCACATGAAGGCGTTGAAAAGTGAGGAAATCAACAGGGTGAATCGAAAACCTTTCCCTAAACATGCTAAAACTGGAAGTGGAAAGCAGAAGTTTGTGAAGCAGAAGCCGAAAGAGCTCAAAAAGTGCAAGTTCTGTAATAAATCACACGAAATGAAAAAGGAATGCTGCCCTGCATGGGGTCAAAAGTGCAATGTGTGCCATAAGCCCAATCACTTCAAGGGATCTGCAGTGTGTACTTCCAAGAGTGTTCACCAACTCGAAGATGATGAGTACTCCTCCACTGAAAGTATCAGTGTTGTACAGATAAATACAGTAAGTCCTGAAGATGGACCAATTTTTTGCAACATGCTACTAAATGGTCGAAGAGTACAGTTCCAGTTGGACTCTGGAGCAACAGTGAGTGTTCTCCCACAGAAGTTTCTGTCTGAAGAAGATGTAGTGAGAAATGAATGCATCCATCTCCGGATGTGGAACCACTCTCCGCTACTACGTGCTGTGGGAAAGTGCAAAGTCGTGACAAGGAATCCAGCTACTGGAAAAAAGTACAGGATTGACTATGTCATAGTCAAGGAGGATCTGACTCCACTGCTAAGCAAAACAGCTTCTGAGAAGATGCAGCTTATCACTGTTCACTACGAATCTATGGAAATAGTCCACAACATATTTCCTGAGAATCTTCACAAAGAGTATCCTGTGGTCTTCTCATCCTCTGTGACTGGTACTCTGCCGGGGAACGATGTTCATCTGACTGTTATGGATGATGCTACCCCTAGTGTTC